GTTCTGGCTTTAAGTTGCACTGTGTCAATTTTACCTAAGAGGTCTCACAAGACAGAGAAGTAAAACCTCACATACATCTCAGCAACCCACATGACATTTTGGTTATCACTGACAATTGATCTTTGGAGCCTGGTCTTGGGTCCCACCATCTCTTCATGAACCCTTTCTTGCACATGATCTTTAGTTATCATTGGCTGTGTGGAGCCCATGGCCTCTGTCTAGTCTTTTAACCCATGTGTCCACGGCCTTATGCAGGGGCAATCATCTAATGAAGAAGGAGCTCTCATGATGGAGAACATTCCACCAGAAGAATAAATGTTTTTTCTAGGTATGGTAGTGCACACCTGTAATCCTACCCTTTAAAGCAGTGGTTCTCAACTTTCCTGATGCTGTGACCCTTTACTTCAGTCCTCATGCTGTGGTAAACCTGGCCATAGTAGTATTTTCATTGGTACTTCATAACTCTGATTTTGTTGTTATGGATCTTAGTGTAAATATATGTGTTTTCTGATGGTCTTAAGTGACCCTTGTGAAAGGACCATTCAACCCACAAAGGGTGGTGACACACAGGTTAAGAATCAGTGATTTAGAGGCTGGAGGATCGGATCTGGAGATGAAGACCAGCATAGACTTCAAGGTGAACTCCAAGTGAGCCGGAACTACACAGCGAGACCCTTGTGAGCACTGCACCCCGGGACCATTCTCTCTCAGTTTCTGGACTCTTGCCTCAGCTCCATTGATCCTTCTGGCTGTCGTCTTGACAGTTGATCCCACATAGCTGGTAATAGCTGCTTGAGGTGGGATTGAAAGTGGCTGTGATCTAGTTGTTTTGTTTTCTGTATGTATGTATATCTGTGTGTGTGTGTGTGTGTGTGTGTGTGTGTGTGTGTGTGTTATGTTTGTAACAGTACACGTGTTTTGGTGTTTGTGTGCACACACGTGTAAGTATGTAGCTATGTGCCTTAAGTGTGTGTATATGTCCATTTACATGTGTGGAGTGAGCATGTGTAGCCTTGTGTATATGTGGTGTATGCATGTGTAAGTGTGTACATATGTCTTTGTGTTCATGTGGTGTCCGTGGAAGCAGGAGTTTGACACCACATGTCTTCCTTAAATCCCTCTACTCCTAGTTTTCATTGAACCACATTTTCTCACAAAATGCAGTGCTCACCAATTGACCAGTGAGCTCTGGGGACCTGCTATCACCTAGGGTGTCTTAGTTTTCCTTCTCTTGCTGTCATAGAACAGTAACCAAAAACAACTTTGGGAAAGCAGGCACTTATTTCTTTACAGGTTACAGTCCATCATGAAGGGAAGTCAGGACAGAAATGCAGACAGAGACCTGGAGGCAGGAACTGAAGCAGAGGCCATGAAGGAACACTGCTGACTGCCTTGCTCCCCATGGCTTGCCCAACTTGCTGTCTTATAGCACCCCAAAACACCAGTGCAGGGGTGGCCCTGCCCACAGTGAGCTGAACCTTCCCACATAGAGCATTTGTTATTCAAGAAAATGCTCCACAGGCTTACCTATAGGCCAATCTGATAGAGGCATTTTCTCATCTAATGTTTCCTCTAACAATTGACCCTACCTGTATCAAGTTGAAAACAACAACAACTACAACAAAAGAAAACACAGCACATTGGGCATCGTCTGCACATGACCATAGCATTTTTTATGTAAATCCTGGAGATCCAAACTCGGGTCCCTGTGCTTTCTCAGCAGGCAGCATACTGACAGCCATCTTCCTATCCTGATCTGGATTGTGCTGTGGGTACTTTGAAACCACCTAGGGACATTGACATACGCATTCCCACTGTTGTCCACCACAGTAATCATGTGGAGTGTGCAGAAGGATTCCCATGTCACCAACTTAAAAAGTTATGGTCCTTTAACTCATGAACTGCCATTTCTGCATCTCTTGGCTTTCTTGGTTTTGAAGCTACATGTTTAATTTCTTACCCATTATTTACATTTCTTTGAATCTTTCTAGAGGGAAAGTTAGGTATACTGGGAGAGCAGGGGACAAGGCAGTAACAGACTCGATGGCTGTTTGTATGGCTGCATCTACTTACTTTCCTGTGATGTGCTTTTGAGTCGATGCTCTTATCTGGTGTCCTCCCTGGGCATGGCTGGTGTCCAGTTAAATGGTGAGTTCATTTCTTGTGATGTGTGCTGGTTTGTCCTTTGTGATTTTCTTGAACTACTTTACTAGCTCTGATAATGTTCTGTGGATTCTTCAAGACTTTTTGCACATATTGCTAATGTACTAGTTCCCTTTCTCCGTGTATAGAGATGACGGCTAGACCACTGCCTCCATCACTTATGGCTACCACCCCCTCTCTGTTCTCTGTGCTGGACAGGCCTCTACAGTTCAACAGGAAAGCCTGTCCCCAGCCTACAGCCTAGATGGGGTTTCTCTCAAACTGTCTAGTGCAGCCCTGGATCTCTGGTCCCAAGAGCCACTGGACACCCTAACTCTGGTGACTAGATGACATAAACAGCTAGCTTTTTTTGGGGGGGGGATGGGTTCTTGGAGTTAGGGTTTCTGTGTGTAGTCTTGGATGACCTGAATCTCGGTTTGTAGAACAGGCTGTCATTAAATTCACAGGATCCACCTGCCTCTGCCTCGTGACTGCTGGGATTAAAGTTGTGAGCCACCATCACTGGACTAACAACGCACTTCTTGATGAGACATGAACTAGCCTGATGTATATAACCTTTCCAAAGCCAAATGCATGGTAGACAGTGATGTGGTGGTGGTGTGTGTGTGGGTCCTCCCTTATCATACCTGAAATGAGGTGCCCTACACCCTAAAAAGCCACTGACACCCTTCAGTGTCCTCTAAATGGTAGGTGGCATCTCACATGCCCTGGAAGAGGACAACAGTGAGCCATTTTTAACGATGACCTCTAGTTTTGTCCTTTGGGGGGTTTTTACTGGACATACTGAACATAAGCTGGCATGCAATCCATTCCCCACAGACAAGTGTGAAAAATTTCCATGGACTCAATTCTGTCATGTGTTGATTACCCCCAGCATTCTTGGAAAACCTGGCACTTCTTTATGATAACCATCTGTTTAAACATGTTCATTGGGGTGTGACAAGTGTCACAACATACACTGAGTGTGTATACACAGCTCTGGGCTCAGGGTTGGTGAGAATGGGGAGCACCATTACAGTTAAGTTGACATCATCTTTCTCCACATGGCCCATTTCGTGGGACCTCCTAGGTGGTTAGCTGTGTCAAGATGAAGCTGAATATCTCCTTCCCTGCCCCCGGCTGTGAGAAACTCATTGAAGTGAATGCTGAATACAAGCTTCGTGTGTTCTATGAGAAGCCCATGAACACAGAAGCAGCTGCTGATGCTCTGGGTGAATAATGGAAGAGATATGTGGTCCAAATCGGTGGCAGGAATGACAAGGTTTTCCCATGAAGCAAGGCATTTTGACCCATGGCACAGTGAACCTGCTGTTGAGTAAGGGGCGTTCTTGTTATAGACTAAGGAGAACAGGATAGAGGAAGAAGAAGTCTGGTTGAGGATGCATCATGGAAGCCAATCTCAGTGTTCTCAACTTGGTTATTGGGGGGGGGAAAAAGGAGAGGAGGATATTTCTGGATGGACAGATACTACTGTTCCTTGTTGGTTGAGACCTAAAAGAGCTAGCAGAATCTGAAAGCTTTTTAATCTCTTTAAGGAAGATGATGTCTGCCAATAATACATGGTCAGAAAGTCATTAAACAAAGAAGTAAGAAGTCCAGGACCAAAGCACCCAGGGTTCAGCATCCTGTCACTCCTCATGTCCTGCAGCACAAACGCCGGTGTTTGCTCTAGAGAAACAACGGACAAAGGAAGACAAGGAGGAGGCTGCAGACTGTGCTGAACTTTTGGCAAGAGAATGAAGGACGCCCAAGTAAAGCACCAGGACCAGATCACCAAGAGACAATAGACTATCCTCTCTGAGAGCTCCTACTTCTAAGTCTGAGTCCAGTCAGAAATTAGTCTTTAAGGGTAACAAATACATGATCATGCCTTAAAAACAGTTAAACAAAATTCAGAGAGATACTAAAAATGAAAACAACAATAAAACAGAATTAGACAAAATTTAAGGAGATATTAACAACGAAAAGAATAAAAAGAATTAAACAAAATGAAAGGCAATATTAACAATGAACACAACAATAAATAAGAATTAAACATAATTAAAGGCAATAATAACATTGAAAACAATGAAAAAAGTATTAAAGAATATTAAAGGGAATATTAACAATAAAACCATTAATAAAAAAGAAATAAACAAAATTAAAGGCGATATTAACAATGAAAACAAAGAAAAGAATTAAGCATACTTAATGTTTATTAATAAATATTAATATTAAAAACAATAAAAATGTAATAAAATAAATATAATTAAACGTGATATAAACTTTGAAAACAACAATAAGAATTAAACAAAATTAAAGATGATACTTTCTCTAAAGACGGGAAGGACAGCTGGTTCTGGGTGGAACTCAGCAGGTAATAAACAACCTCACTATATGTCAACATCAGGCAGAGGGAAAACGGGCTCTGGTACACCCCACTGCACAACAGAAACTAGAAAGAGCTGCCCAGCATCTGGAACATCTGCAGCCACTTCTAGAGGTGGCTGTGCATCAGTGGGCAGAGGCTGATCTGAAGTTTGAAGTGGCACTGGTCCAGCTTCTGGCACGGTTGGTTCCCCAGGTGCCAGGTCTGTGTCGTCTTGGGTTTTCAGAAATTCCTGGGGCCCTGCCACAGAAGTTGGTCCCAGATGCAGAGTCTCCACCATCCCTGATGCATCCTGCGTGGGTGCCTCTGGATTTATTTCCCTGAGGAGTCCATCATCTAAGGCAGAAAGAGATGGACCGTTAGTGGAAGTGCCCTAGAAGTTTCCATGATGGGGTGAGCTTCCCAGAGATGGCCTTGATGGTCACACAAGGTCTGTTCATGTCAGAAAATCCCCAGTCCCCTCTCCCCACAACAGGACATCTCACCCGACAGGTGTCCAGCTCTGGTTCCAGGCCGGGATATCTGGACAATTTCCTGGTGCAACCCATCGCCGAAATTACCTCAGCCTTCCCAGGCACCTACCCCAGGCCTCCTCGCCCGTTTTACACTCCTGCTCCTCCAGCTCCTCTCCTTGAAGAGTGAGGTCCTTTGCAGGCTCATCGGGCCATAGATATTTCACGAGCCTCTTGGCCACGGCAAGGTCTGGAGACCGACTGAAGTCCCGGGGGTGTTTTATTCTCCATATCGACAGGAAGGATAATAAGGCACTGCAGGGAGGAGCAGGTTGGAGGGAAGTGGAGTCAGAAGCCTGGCCTCACTTCACCAGCACAGCAGTGTCCCTTAGATGAGGAAAGGGCTGCCCAGCCCATGTGCTGCTGGGCATGGTGGTCAGGACTGTAGAGCTGTATGGAGAGGGCTCGAGACACTTTCTGTGCCTTGGAGGACGGACTGGGCAGACTGGGCTGGGCTGTAGTGGGGATGGTTTCCCCTAGGGCCCTTTAGCTTCCATCAATCCCTGTGCTCCTCAGGACCAAGGAGACCAATGGAGATTTCTGTTTTTCTCCACCTGCACGTGAAGTCTCTGGTACCATCCCTCTAGTGGGAATCCCAAGAGCGGGGTGACTGGTAACAGCTCAGTCCTCAACCCTAGCCACCCCAGACATCCCACTGTGTAGAGGGGCTCTTACCTCCCTCGTCACCCAAGCCAACTCACGTCTTTTTTTCCTGATCCTCCACACAGTCTGGCCGCAAAGGTCCATACCTGTGGCATTCCATGAGGGTGTCACCACTAAGGCCATGTGTCCCCAACCCACCAAGAGATCCTGAGAGAGCTACTTGAATCAGGTAGAGAAATAGAAGCCAGGAAGGGGATGAGGGTCCTCAGGGCTCCTTGCAATGTTCTGACTTCCATGGTTAGGGCCTGGGAATGAGCCTCTGGTCACAGCTCTTCAAGGATCTTCCCACACTGGGTAACCTAAGCTTCTCCTCCTTAGGTTTTTTGGTTGTTAGAGGACTTCTTGGGTGGCCCCAGGGACCCTTATCTGCTTCTGTTAACCCCATCAAACCTAGATAGTGTCTAGAACCTTTTATACAAATGGGGGAAAGGCTCTGCTCAGGGGATAAGAATGGATAGTGTTTGACACTTCTAGAGAAAAGTGAATGACAATCTCGCGTTGTCTCCCCTACCCCTATCTCTGGCCATGTCATCTGGAAGGTCCAGGCCCAGGACCAATGATGCCAGGGCACAATAATACTTGTTCTGTGAGAGCATACAGTCCCAGAGAAGGGTGGAGATGGTCTAGAACCAAACAGGGGGCTTGAGAGCCTGACTTGTGTGTAGCCACTCACGTGTCCATAATTAAGTCCAGCATCTTCCAGGTGGTCACAAACTTAGGGTAGACAGCCAATACTATAAATATAAATAGGTAATTCTCATCCTTAATGGCTTTTGGTATATGATTGATAAGGTCTTTCATATAGGTTGGGCTCTGTGGATCAAATATGGGGTCATCTTCCTGATTCCTGTTATCCTGAGGAAAGACCAAGGAAGGAAGGAGGGTTTAAATGTGAAATCTCAGAGACAATAACAACCCATTACCACACACTGAAGTGAAAAGTGAGCATAAAAGATGTTCCTCAGTGTTCTCACAGGAACAAAGACCCAGTCAGGAACTGCAGTGGATCAGGGGGACCAAAAAGTCTCCTGGCTACAGGCTGGCCTGTGTTACCTCATTTTCCCTATGGGAAAATGGACAGAGGTATCCATAAATACTTCGCAGCACACGTTGGAACCGGCCAGGATGCTTTGGTTTGGGGTGGCCTGAGCCACCACAACTCCTGAAGCAAGAGAACATCCTTACTGTTCTAGTGCCTCCAGAGAAGTGAGTCAGTTGAGGCTGCTGTTGATGGCTGGTTACCTGGTAACCAGGAGCCTGAGTTCCATCTGTGATAA